CCCCCCATGCCAAAAAAAAGCCCGGTCTAGGTAGGGTTAATCTGTGAAACGTAGTCTCATGGTGGAAAGGAGGCATCCATCCATCTACCAGAATGCCTGCTGTGGTGTATTACACCCCATACAGACTACAGTGCACTGTGATAACACACAGAGATGGAGTGGAGATGGCCCAAGCGTTATTGAGTTTGTGATACAGTCAGGCACTTTGTGTGTAACGAATAGCAGGGAACCATCGCATTTTGCGAGGCTTTTTAGATAAGGCCAGTTGCAGAATGCCTCTTAGTTTGCCTTCAGGGCACGAGTAGATGCCGTTGTTTTGTCAGGAACCTCCAGGCTGACCTTGGCCTTTCCCTACTACTAGTGAAGATAGTAGTAGTTCAGAGCTTCTTTCGTCTGAATTCTGCCACTCTTGATGATACTGCTGTTGTATATGTCCTTCTAGTCAAAATCTCACAACTGCATTTTCCTCTCCATGATTGAAAAGCAAATGTGGCAGACATGGTGAATCGTTGCTTTGCCTATGAAAAGAAATCAACTTTGAATCATCAGCGCTACATCCTTTGGAAAAACTATTTTCGAAGTATCAACGTACTACAGTATCACACACACAGGGAGACACATACATGGACACTCGCACAAGCACATGCACGCACGCACGCACACACACGCACCCGCATACGCACGCACGCACACACACACATTTGCACATGACCTTCCTTTTCCCTTCACTAGACGAATCTTTCATGCCTATCTGTAATTAAAAGCTTATCTGCTGCCGGCCTTGACTGATACACCACGGCACACGGTATCAGGAGTCCTAAATCCCTACTTTGTCAAGCTGACGCCTTAATCTGATGATTGACGTACACTGACAGCTTGGTCTGACAAGATGAAATCTACATAACTTAATAGAGTTATTTGCAGTAGCAGTTCCCTTTTCTCGTCCCTAATGTTGAAGTTTGTTGTTTCAACGCGCTAAGCATGTTGGGAAAGAACTGTGTGCCGTAGGAGGGGGTGGGTAGAAGATCCTATAAGATGAAGAGGGTCGATTGATGGCTCCACGGTAAACACTTGAAAATTGAATTGAGTAGCACGGCTTCTGATATTAAGGACATGAGATTGATCTGCAAAACTTCGGCAACACTCTCGAAGCGCTCAAGTATTTTGGTGCACTAGGCATGCGAATGCTGTAGGCGTTTTTGGCGTAAGTTACTGTATCTGAAGGCTCTGTTGAGTCCCAGCACTGTTGTGGCGTTGTAAGAAACAGCATCCGAAAACCGCTTTGGCACACGGTCAACTTTTTAAAAGATACTTGCTTAAAATCTGAAAACACCCCTTTCACACTCTGGTGGGAAAGCACAGACGAGAATACATAATGGCGCTTGTACACATTTGCTTCCGAGCTTCTCCGATTCTGTGCTACCCTTCTCATACCCATCAAGCGTAAGAAACACGAACTAATATTTCTGTATTCGCAGCAATAATAGAGATGCTCTGCTGTTACAAGCCCCGCCCAGTCACCATTCATTCCCTTCTACAAGTAATCCTCAAAGCTACGTGTAAATCCTCCAAGTCTTCAGAAGACGGCGAAAGATCACACCAGCAAATCCTCACTGACAATAGTTATTACCTTCACTCATTTCATTGCAAAAGTCAGAGACAAATGCTGGCAAACTTCCCGCACATAAATGACACACATGCACACCAGGAGTTTTCTACCCCCTGACTTCCATTCTATCGTAACTTATCCTACAAAGTTGTTCTCACCTAAAATATTTGACTTACATGAAGGTCTAAGATGCTGAATTATACGTAGCCCCGGAGAGAGCCTGGAACGATCCGTAACTAACAGAATTGAAATTTAAATGGTTTTGCACCACATGTGTGAGTATGTATGGAAAGATAGCTCTCCCTGCCTTAATTTGATACAATTAGAATGCTATAATTATGTCTAGTGTTATTTGTGACAGACATCGGGCAGAACGTTAAGTGGAAGTCCCGTGTTACCTACACCTCGAGCACGTTTAAGAACCCACCGCACTTACCGCAAAAGAGTAAGGGTCTTTCTGTGTGAGTGGAGAAAAATCATTCCGGTCTAAACCGGACGGAATGTTCTTGAGCATCTTTCGTCGTCACGGTATTGCTGTCCTACAAATTCATGTCAATTGCAAGAATGAATCAAATATCTTCAACGACTATTCTGTACAAGAGTACAGAGAGACTAATACTTACGATGTAATTTCAATTTTAGTGAAAGTTAGAGAAAATGATCACTTTAACGAAGAATCTGTATTATTGGCGAACGATGAAAACCTTGTGTACGCATGTTATAAGTAATGGCGTATTTAATATGTTTGTAGTAATATGATGATTGTAGTAATCACATAAAAACAGGCTGTCCCGCCGTGCTCTGACGCACAGTGGGGCTACTTAGAGTTCAGCTAATCGGTAACAAATTGCGTTGTGCCTGGAAGATTATGGTGGCTACTGGGGCTTAGATTACAGCTAAGTATGGTCTGGCGTGTCTCACGACAGGAAAATAAGCTTATTTGATATGCCAAGTGACGTCAAGAGCTCAATCATGCAAATCTCTGCTCAAGTTTCTACGTAAACCTGAGCGAGACTCGCTCCAACCAAACCAAATACACCCATATTTTCCTTCCTATTGAGGCACTACCTCCTGCTCCAATGGTGTGTATTTTGGTGTGTATATATATGTTTATTTTCAAGTGGTGCTGGCAAAATAAGTTGAGTGCAGCGACGCTTTTTCTTGTTGTGCTTTGAATAAATAAAAAAAAGGTGTGTATTTTTGGAATGATTACAAACTCTGAGTATTTTGGCCGTCTGTACGTGGCGTTCTAACGATTGGGGCCATGGCAACGGGATATGGCGTCTCGTCATGGCGTCTTCAACAGAACGTACCCATTAAAATGATGACGTAATGACCGTAGGACTGTAACACGTTTAAAATTCTTACATGACTGGAGAGTAATCCATGTTTGTAACCGTGTGTCAGCAAGGTGATCATGATTAGAAACATTAATGCAGCACAACGTTCCATGATTACATTCAGCGCGGTTTCACTGGGACGGTGTTGGCGAGGTTTTGGACACGTAAACACAGAACAAAAAGAAACTACAGTGCACTTCATTTTCACTGCTGACGGCAAAAAATGCGCGATTTTGGTACAGAAGTACAGTATTGAGCTCTAAGTCTAGCATATTCTGCATGTCGTAGCGCAAGTCTATCCAAAGGCTATCTAGCATCAGCTGTTGCACCGCCGTTAATAGATACCAGTCAAAGAGAAAAAAGAAAGGCAACATGAATCATATGCATAGAAAATTATCTCCTTTTGATGTTGTCCACCCAAAAGACAGCGTTGACAGAAATAGATTTTTGGTCCCCAAACTCGGCCACAAGTTGTTCCATAGAGTACATTTTCAGTAGAACATGGGCCTTAGTTTATCTATTGCCTCACTATATCATCACTTTAGGGTTCTAACGAAATAACGTCGACCAGGTAATTTATAGAGTCTTACGGGCGGTCCCCGCGAGAGATGCATATATGGACTGACTGTTCAGCGAGTGTTCATCTGCCATCACCTGGGGCTACAAGCTGCAAACGCCCTACGTACCCATGCACGCTGCACTCTCACCTATCGTTCTATACGTTTGCATACTTTAAACATTTATGATATGTACATGTAATAAGGGAAGTAAAAAAAACTCATCGACATTCGGTATTTCCTGTCAGAGTGCCAAACGCTCATTGCCCTGTTTTTACGCAACAGGTGGTGAGACTGGCCGTTATTGGCCTAATCACCAGGCGGCCGCAAGCTTCTCCATCTACCGGTCTTCAAGTAGAGAGATCCCGTCCGGCAGCTTCCATTACACAACTCGAAAACATCTCGAAGGTAAGGCGGTTTCTTTTTCCTAGCCTCTCATGAACTTGATATGTTACACATGTATTGCTGCATGCGTAGTATGTAAAACAGGAGCACTTAGCGTGTACAGATGAGATTCTACATATTCGCCATCCAATTCTTTCTGACGACTTAAGTAGGCATATCACAATCGCAACCATCATGAATTCCCAGGCGAGTTACACCTGTGTGTGCCTGAATGATATCGCCCTAGACAAGCTATGAATGCCTAGGCGCAGCAGTACTGAGTCAGAATACATACGCCGCATGCTGGAAATGACTAGCTTCACTCATAGTCATACGACTTCAAGTTGGCAAAAGCATAATGACGAATAGAATCAACTTCTGAAGGACGTTGCGAAGGTCATGAGAAAAATAAGCTTTCATCTCAAATCCAAAATACTGTACTATTATAAGTAGCTCTATGGCACAATGAGGCAACAATATCCGTAATATCCAGGTGGCATAATTCGTATCTTCTCGTATTAACGGCACGGTATAACATCGTGTGATTGGATACGGGGG